AAAATGTTGATATGTCAAGATATTGTTAAAGTGGTTGATAAGTTGTTAACGATTATGTCGTGCAGGTGTTGAATGATTGTCATGTGTTTATTTGATTTAAATCGTGTTGAGTTATTGTTGTGTCGAGAAGTAGTGGTCAAAGTGTTTCCAGACGCGACTTGGGGATCCGAAAGTGTGATGCGAAATTCACGTTAAGAGTGGTAGTGTTGAGTAGATTTTCGAGGACGAAAATATTTTAAGTGGGGGAGAGTTGTAACGCCTGTTAATTTAATTAATCATTTAATTAAATTATTTTTGGATTATTTGTTGAAGTTGTGAGATGTTGTGGATTGTTGCGATAATTTGTCATATTATTATTAATTAATTAAGTAGTTTATTAATAATAATAATAATAATAATAACGTTGGAATTATTAGTATTAGTCGTTGGGCTTATTTTGGTGGTTTGTAGTATTAAGAGGGTGTGATGATTAGGCCCAATTGACATAATTCTATTATTATCAAGATAGGTTATAATAATAGAAATTAGATTTACATTTAGGAAAAATAGGTTTTGTCAAGGAGAAGAAGAATAAGGGTTGGAAGAGAGAAAAAGAACGTAGAAGTTACAAAGAAGATGAAAAGAGGCAAAGCGGGATTCGATCGGAAAATTGTAGAGCAACCTTAAATCTAAGGCAAGGGTGGGATTCTGACTCTATAATTGGGTATATGATGCATGTTACGTGGGAATTGGGTTATGTGAAATTGTTACTGTATGTGATGGTTGTATTAACAAATTGTTGTTGGTTTATGTGATAATTGTGCTAACGTTGCAGTAATTCAATCGATGAATTGAGTGTTAGAAATTATTATGTATTGATGTGGGTATAGTTATTATGTTGTTGTGAATATATATTGTTAGTCTGAGATCATGGGAAGGAAATGAATTACTGATCGCAGGAAAGTTTGGACGTAGTTGCAGAACTGCAACTGGAATTATGGTCATATGTCGAGCGGCACATGTGTGTTGATGAAGGATGCCGATCGAAACCATGTCCTGTGCCGAGGGGCACGTTTTGCATGCCGAGGGGCATGAATCCCTTAACCAATATTTCTTTTAATTGTCTTGGGACTGTATTGTGTTTCTGTCACTTAGTAGTTTGTTACAGAAAAAGGTGTAGCAGGGTTAGAAAATGATAAATAACAGTAGATATTATTTATTAGTAACTAAAGTGAACAATTTGCAGATTTGCATAAGCATAGCAGGTAATATTAATGAGTAACAGAGTTGTTAGTAGAAAATTAATAATTAGCATACAGTGTAATGGAAATTGTTGGTAGTAGTGATATATGAAAGTAATAGCAATGGATATTTAGCAAGGATAATTAGAAAATTGCAGAATTAATAACTAGTATAGTTTTAGTTGCAGAACTAGCAGTAAATAGCAGTGGTATTAGTACTCAAAATATATTAGCAGTAGAGATGACTTAAGTGGCAGGAAAATAATAGCTTCACTAATTTAGCAGTAAACTATTAATGAGGCTTATGGCAGAATAATTTAGTAGAAGTATTTTAGTAGGATCGTGTTAATAATATTATTGGCATGTGTGAGTTGTGGTATTGTTGTTATTAATTGTTGAAGTTACACGTAGTGGTGAGTTATGTTGTATTGCATCTATAATTGGAAATTATTAAGTTGTAGGCTTATGGCCAATGTTGAATTAAGTTGAATTATTAAGTTGTAGGCTTATGGATAATGTTGAATTAAGTTGAATTATCAAGTTGTAGGCATGTGACCAGTGTTGAATTATTATTAAGTTGTAGGCTTATGCCAACATTGTTATGTTGTTGTTGTTGATGTTGCATTTAATCATGTTGTTGCATACATTGCATATCAAGTTGGAGCTGATGCTCGTTAAGTTGGCCTGGATTGGCAAAATATTAAGTTGAAGGCTTATGCCTTGTTGATGCCTCTATTAATTGGAAATTTCTAAGTTGGGAGTTCTGCTATGTTTCTAAGTTGGGAGTTCTGCTCCATTTTTAAGTTGGGAGTTCTGCTCTGCTGGTACCAAATGCATGTGCATAGTAACAAGTTTCATTTCACTTTGCATATTGAGTTGTTGTGTTGGTAAATTATTTATTATGTTTGTCGATGTTTGTCGTTGTGATTGACGTTGTTTAAAGTTGTGAAGTGGTGATTTGGAATAGACGAATTCTGATGTAATATTATCATACATCTGATTATAGTGTTCTATATCTCACTCCTTCTGTTTGAATGTTACCCCGATGTTGGTAACGTGCAGGTAATCCAGAGTGAAGGCGGTTTACCTTCAGCAGTTCGAGCCAGTGTCATTGCTCTGAAACATAACACACGGGGGATGAACACTTCCTGTTTTATTGTTATTAATTCAGTTGATTGAACTTTAAGTTGTTGTTTGTTAAATACTTATTATTTGAAGGTTTTTAGTTGGACAAAGATGATATATTCTTTTAAGTAGAATATTTGATTCCGCTGCGTAGTTGTGAAAGTTGTTGGTTTTAAAGGATTAAAATTATGTTGTTGTTGGTTCATTCCAGATTAATGTGTTACGTATCTGTAATGAATGCCGTTGTTTTAAGTTGAAATTGTAGCATCCTGATTCGGTTGTCAAATTTTTATAACTCTGATCTTTATATTAATTGTCGAGTAGAATTTGGGTGTTAAATTTATAGTTTCCGGGAAGCAACATACATATGAATTGGTATCAGTAAAAACCAGATTTAAAAATCACCAACAGACGCATAAAAGCATTTACCGATTCAAGTAATATCACTTAGAAACTATAACCACCTCGCAACAATTAAATCCCCATATTTCAAGCCACAAACAAAAACAATTCAAGTGTTAGTGCAATTTCCAGATTTGAGGTTTTTTATGTCAAAAACTTGAATTCATCAACAAATCGACAGGAAAATTGAATTAACTCATGAAAACACAATTAAATCTCCTCAAAACTCCATAATCGACATGTAGATCTAAAATTCGGTATTAAAAAATTATCATCAAATTTACTGAACAAATTTAAGATCCATATCGATTATGTTCACCAATCAACCAATTCCACATGATTCCAACATTATCACAAATTCAAGAATTCAAGTATCTTAAATGAAATTCAATAATTCAACTCATTGTAGCGGTGAAAGTCAGAGATCAAGCTATTGATTAACTTGACTCACAAATAAGCAAGAGTCGCCACCACACTTTATTATTTCCAAGGGAAAAGGGAAAAGTGCAAAATAAAACCCATAAATTTAAAAATTAAGCGCAATACTAAATGTAAAGAAAAATATAATGCATTTGAAAGAGATCGAAGATTCGGGGGTTGGTTATACAAAAAGGGAAGGTACTAGAACCATATGTATCTATAGTATCTTATAAAAACCTTTTGAAATATCTGTTTTTTGGTTAAAGTTGGTTTGTTTGCTAAATGAATGTGGGGATGAGATTTTGAAAATGCGGTGACCTAGTGTCGAAGTTATTGGCTTAAAAGAGGTGTGAGTTTTAAAATTAGGGTTTATAAGAGATTTGCCTTTAGATTAATAAAATTTAAAAAATGTACAAAAGGGTTTTCGCACAATCGTATTAAATATATTCAATGACATGAAGTCAATAAATTTGATTTTTCCTTTGGAGTTAGACGCAAACAAAAAATAAAGACTAAATGATAGACAAAGGGAAAATAATTAAATAGAAATTAAATAAATAATTAATTAACAACCAAAAATTAAATTAAATAAAGAAAGAAAAAATTATAATAATATATATTTTTGGCATTTTTTAAAGAGGGACAGAAAGAAATAATTATAAACCTAATCTAATATTTTGTTGTGTTTTTGTATGGATTTTTTAATGAAATAAGGCAAAAGACTTAAAAATTAGAAAAAAATAAAAATGCAACAGCTTGGACTTCAGCTCAGGTTCTATAGCTTATAACAAAGTTGTCTTATCACTTAAGCATGTTTATTTTTCTATCATATACACACCTTAATAAAAATAAAAAGAGTTTGGGTTAAAAGGGGATAAAAATAGAATAATGATAAAAGTGCCTCAGTGGGTCTCGAACCCAGGACCTCAAGCATGCAGGACTGACACACTAACCATTACACCAAGCTATCCAATTGTTATATTTAACTAATCAAAAACTATAAAAGTCAAAACTTGTGAAATGGGTTAGGCTAGGCCCAAACCCGGATCCATCTAAGAGGAAAAAGAAGGGTTTTAGGAACCCTAATTGAATATGAGGGCGCCGTGGATCTTGACTTTGGAAAGGTAAAAACAATGAATTAATTACCTATCTGGAAAACTGAAGCATGATTAAAAAGAAAAAAAATCAAATCCTCTCTCTCACGTGAAACCGCCTCCTCCGTTCTCACAATAACTCCCTTCTCTCTCACATAGATAAATTCTCATCCTCTCTCGATCCTCCAACATTTTCTCTCAGTTTCACTCAAACTCTATGTTCATCTCTTCTACTTCTAACCATGAAATCGAATAACAAAAATAACATCTTCTCTCCCTTTCAATTGTTCCGACAACCACAACACCGGTTTCACAGTTTAATCTCTTTTCACGGTTTAATCACAGTAAGCAATAACAACAATAACCTCCGCTCGAACTTAGTTTTCATCCTCACGGTTCCAATTTTATGACCGATAAAAAGCAACAATAACACCAACTTAAAGTGAAGAAGCAAACAAAGTTCCAGATTGAAAGGCAAAATGGAGATTTAGAAAAAATACGGAATTAGAGTTCCTCTGATGGGTCTTCTAAGGTATAGTATACTATTATTTCCTCTTCTTTGATCAATTGCTTGTGTTGAATGTTGAATATGCGCTGAAAGTCGGTGTTGATGCATTGAATACTGTGTTGATTGAGTTTTGCAGATGAAGATTTATGAAGGTTGGGCAGAGGTTAACGAAGGAGCTTCAGGTTCTGAGCAGAGCAATTTCTTCAGCTCTTTCTGTGGGATGTTTTTTATATGTATTTGGACAAAGATGGTAGTATTTTGTGTGCTTTAGTTTAATGTAGAATAAGATTTGAGAGCAGAGTTTAGTTTGTTACAGGGCTACTGCTGGGATGATTGTGATGATAAGGAGTCTAGAGTCATTCTGTATTTTTTATGCAGGGTTGAAGGGTTGCATAAAGATAATGTACGGAGGTTTGAAGGGTGGTTTGAAAGATTTGAAAGAGGTTTGAAAAAGTTGCAGTGGTGAAAGAGAGAGTATTTTGTGATATTTCTCCCTGTTTTCTGTATTGTTTTCTTTGGTTTTCTCAACTGTTTTTCAGGTGTGTCCTCCTTTTGTTAAACAAACTTCTTTCTTTTTTATAGGCTAAGATTTCTGAAAATTTAGGAGGGAACATTGATTCATTTTAACAAAACTAGACCTCTGATCTTATGCTTTCTCTTGCAGGTTTCTTAGCTGATTTATTTTGGCATCTTGGAGCAAGCATTGGAGCAGCATCAACAGGTTTTTGGAGTGTTTTATTTAACTATTTTGTAGACTGGTTTTAGAGAAGGGGCAACAACATGAATAGTAAGACAACAAGACAAGACAGTAGGATTTTGTATGATACTTTTGTGTAAGTCTTTAGACTGGGTTTTGGCAGTTTGTTTGGCATTATTATGCAGGTTTTTGACAGGTTTATGTACTGGACAACATAGCAAGTTTTAGACTGTAATGCAGGGTAGATTAGCATCTTGCAGCAGGTTTTAGACAACTAGGAGTTAGCATCAACTTGGGACTGGTTTTTGCACCATTTTGCACCATTTTGGGACTGATTTTAGAATCAACTTAGGACTATGTAATTTATTTGTAATTTCTCAAAGCGTAATAGGATAAATTATTGCATTACTGTAACTTGCTTGATTTAATAACCAGGCTTTCAAATTAATGAAAATTGCCTTGTTATCTGAACTTGTATGAAATCTTAAATGATGTTGAACTTGGCATTTGAAATTTAAACATTATCTTGAAAATTGAATGATGATGAATGTCTTAAGTAAAATTCGATGAATAAATGGATTATGCTTTGCATATTCAATTTAGCCTTTGAATTCTAAAGGACAAGAGCTCCGAGAGTTCTACATATATTCTTCTTCCAAAACGGACTTGAATTCAATCATGCCATAAACTTCACCTTTCCTTTCAAAATCAAAGACCTTTCAATTATGAACTTTCCATAAACCCCGTTTTGAATACTCAAAAGGCATTGCCTTGTACCGATCGTTCACAAATCTTAAATCAACTTATCATGAATTTAACCATAACTAAAAGTCCCTGAATGATCAATAGAATAAGGCTTCGATGCAAAAGTTGTTGCATTAAGAAGTTGGCACCATGAATTTGAAATTAGAAATCAAGAAACTTTTAAGTTGTGAAAAACGACCTATAACGTCTCACTAATTTTCATAGTATTCTAAGCATAATTCAACTCTGACCTGTGAAGAGAACTTGTCAATGACATCACTTATGACAATATGCAAGAAGAATCAACTCAAAATTTTAAAAATCAAGGAAGTTGTGATATGTGGAAGTTGGGCACAACTATTTTAAGATTAGGTCAAATTCCACATAATGACCTCTAAAGTATTCGAACTTTTGATGATCCTTCGCACATAATTAGATCTTAGCTGGTAAAGAGGAGTTGGAGATGACGTAAAGGAGAGTTATACGCAAAAATAACCATTCAAAAATATTGAATAATGAAGAAGTTATGATCATTTGAACTTGATCATGCAAAAGTTGACTTTTGGTCGAAGTGCTTTGAATTGACTTGCAAACTTGATCTTTCCTTGCATTTCAAGGCATATTGATGCACATGTGGACCAATGATGATGAAATCTCGACTGTACTTTTGAGAATTGTTGATCCATCATACTTGAAAACGTAAGGGATCAAAAAACCTAATTGAGGCGCAACACCTGACGCTCTTGATTCAGACATGTCTCTGTACATGAAACCAAAGAAAAACAAGCAAATACCTTTGTATGGGATTAGATGTTAGTGATGCATAAGATAAAAGATCCACAACAATTGATAATCTCTACACAAGCAATGATCGAAGGTGAGTGGATTAAGAATCAATTGTATCCTGTGACCTTGATTCTCTTTAAGAGCAGAGTTTAGTTTGTTACAGGGCTATTGTTGGGATGGTGTTGATAATAAGGAGTTTAAAGTCATAATGTTTTTTTATGCAGGGTCGAAGGGTTGCAAAAAGATGATGTAGGGAGGTTTAAAGGGTGGTTTGAAAAAGTTGCAGTGGTGAAAGAGAGAGTATTTTGTGATATTTCTCTCTGTTTTCTGTATTGTTTTCTTTGGTTTTCTCTACTGTTTTTCTGGCATATCCTTCTTTTGTTAAACAAACTTCCTTCTTTTTTATAGACCAAGATTTTTGAAAATTTAGGAGGGAACATTGATCCATTTGAACAAAACTAGACCTCTGATCTTATGCTTTCTCTTGCAGGTTTCTTATCTGTTTTGTTTTGGCATCTTGAAGCAAGCATTGGAGCAACAACAACAACTTTTTGGAGTGTTATATTTGACCATTTTGTAGACTAGTTTTAGATCAGGGTGTTGTAATTTAGATTTAGGTTTTTAATTAATCAATTTAATTTTTGATAAATAAAAATTAATTTAATTTAATCACCTTGATTTTATTTTTTATACTTCATATATTTTTCTAAATAAAACATCAAAATTATTTTCTAACAATTAGTTTCTTTTTTTAAAATTAAAATTAATTTAGACTTCTTTTTTTAATTAAGTCAACTAAATTAGATTTCTTTTTAATTAATTAAATTAATTGACCTTTTTTATATTTCATAAATTTAATTTAGTTTCTTAGGTTTTTATTAAACTTTTGTTAAAATTAATCAAATAATTAAGTTAATCATCAAACTTTTTCCCTCAAAAAAATCACAAAACAATTTCTTTTCTCTTTTCTTTATTTTACAAATCTTCACATATTGCATTCCCAATTATGTAATTGCTCAAAGCTTGTAATAGATAAATTAGGGTTTATTTTACTTTTCATCCCCGTTCATAAATGTGTACCCCCATTCCTGAAGCCTTGTGTGATACGGTGGGAGAACTGACTTGAGGTTTTGCGTTCGTGTTCGCAAATGTTTCAGTTTAGCAAGAGTCGCCACCGACTTTTATTTTATCCAAAAGGAAAGGTCAAAAAGCGCAGGAAAGGCCTTTGAGATGTTTTCTTGAGTTCGGGGGGTAGATTATGAAAAGGGAAGGTGCTAGCACCCTTTTCATCCATGGTTTTCCATGGGCTCTTAGTTACTTGTTTTAGATCACTTGCTTTGCTTTTCCAATTGTTTGAAATGGTGCTTTGTGTGGTTTTGAAAGTATTTTGAAAAGAGGTCATCATTTAGGCAATCTTTGTAATGATTCTCGTTCGTAAGAATGTATACAAAGATGTTTGTCTTTTGAAAAATGTTTCAATGTTTTGAAAGTTGTTTGGAAATTGTTTTTTGAAAAGTGTGTGTGTTTGTTTGAAAATAGCAAGGATTGTTTTTGAAATAATCAAGTAACTAGAAGCATCTACCTACTCAAAAGTCTTTCCTACACATTTTTATTCCTTTGATGTTGTTGACCTACTATTGTTTTAGTAGACAAACCTATCTTTGGATGTTAAACGGGACAGGCGTGGGTCATCGTATGACCATGATAGCAATGGTGCCAAGTATCTTAGCAAGTTTTAGGGACCAAGATCATTTGTTTTTAGGCAACCAAGTCTAGCGTCATCGAGGGACTATGATCTTTTGTTTTGTTTAGTTTTGCCAAGATACCTAGCATGCATACCATGGCCATTTTGTTTAGGCAACCAAGTGGATGAAACCCTAGGGGGTGTTGTGTGCAATGTGTTGTCATTTTTCATGCATTTTGTTTGTCTTGAATTAGGTCATTCTATTTGTTTTGATTTTTGTCTTATCATACAAATCCTAATTTACTAAACATGTATATAATGCGATAAATTGCGTAAAGTAAATCTAAACTATTACAACAATATTATGGGAAGGGGGATACAAGTTTTGAATGGGGATATTTGCATAGAATAAAACCCTAAAACTATTACAACCAAATTGAATTTATGGTACAATAAATAAATAAACAAATATTTAAATATGCAAATAAAATTTATGGATGCAAAATGTTTTTTTGTATTTATTTTAAGTGTGTAAAAATAAATTATCTAAGTCTAAAATAAGAAAAATATTGTGATTATTTTTTAAAGGTGAAGAAACCCTAATTTTTGTTTAAAAGAAATATATTCTATATTATTCATTTTTATTCAAGAAAAATAATAATAATACGTATAAAAAAGTTTAAAAAAATTGAAATATGTATGAAAATATTATTTTAAGTGTATAAATAATAAAAATAAAAATGTATGATATTTTTATATTATTTACAAGTTATTTTAAGAAAATGATTTCTATTTATTAAAATAAAGCTATTTTTTATATGCAAAAAATAAGATAAAAAATAATATAAAATGCAAAAAATTAAGAAAATATTTTTGAGATTTTTTAATATTCAGAAAAAAAATATTAAAGTCAATAAACATAAAAGAAATAAAAAAATATGCAAAATAAAGAAAATGGGCCAAGGGGGTGAAAAAAGGAAACATGGGGTGCAAAAAGTAGGACAAACATGCCCAAGGCGCGCTAGGCCAATAACCTGTCGTCCCTGTCCTCCAGCCATACAAAACACGTGCGCTTCTGCTTCAAATCCTGTTCTTGCTCATGCTTGCATAAAATCAAAAACTTATAACACAAAAAAGGTAGCTCATGAACTCATGATTCCAATGATATAAAGAACATGACCTAACTCTAAAGGACCAAGGAGAATTTTAATGGCCCTAATTTCTGACCTAAAATTTTCATGAACTTCAACAATCAAATACTCTTAGCTTAGTAAATATAAATGAAAACTGAGCATATGTACACTCAAGACTGTTAAAGACTACATGTTTGCTTCACAAATCGTGACCTAAAGATGCCTAAATAGAGAGATAGAAACTTGAAAAATACCTTGTTCAGTTGAGTTTGGATATGGAAATGTGGGGACTTTGAGTGAGGCTTGAGATGCTTGAATCTCCCTGTAGAAGTCAACCTGCAAACCTTCAAAATGAAAATGGTGAAGCTTGAAACAGGGCACACAGTTGCTAGACAAAGGCCTGGATAGTTTAGGTAGGAGGTATGGAATGTGTTTGAAGCCTTGAAACAAAAAACGCACGAGCAAAATATGTTTTGGCTTGAGATTTGCAGAAGCTGCCCTGTTTGGGCAGAAAATGGTGTTTTTTATGTTTGAGGGTGTTTGGGGAGCTATGCACTCGTGTATTTTCTTGTTATAAAGTTCTGAGATTGTTTGAAATGATCCAAAGTCTTTCCTTTATCAGATACACAAGCTTCCTTGACTTTTGCAAGTTTGCTTGCTTTTGAAGAAAAGGTGAAGTGACAAAGCCAAAGGCCTGTACAGGCTAGCTTAAGGTCTGATGAGAGTTGGTGTACTTTGCCTGAAGTTTGTGGATATTATTTGCAACAAGAGATCAGGTCCATGGCTCAAGATAAACAAAGTTGGAAAAAGCAAGCTTTATCAAAGTAGCAATGTGAACTTTATGCCATTTTTGGATTAATTCAATGTGCAATGCTTCAAAAGTCAGAACAAGGCCATTATCCAATGTGTTTTCATTTAATTATGGAGTGTAGAAGGGATTAGGACCTGTAAAACCAAGTACAAGCATGTTTGAAACTGATTTGCAACTTGTACCATTGTGAAAAATGCCTTGCACAAAAGTGATAAATTGTCATTTTCATTTCTTCGATTCTCCCTAGCCATAAATGATCTTGGAGAGTTCTTGGACATTTTGTAAAGCTTGTAACATTCTCTACAATACATATTTGAAATGCATTTTGAGATTCCTCTTGGAACTAGGTGAAAAGTTTCCATGAAATTAGGTCAAAAATCTACCTAAACTAGGGCAAAATTTCACTAAGTTAAAAAGTTTATGGACCCCTATTCACAAAATCATAACTTGAGATCCAAGCATATTTTTGGAAAAATTTGTGAATCAAAGTTGTATATTTCATGGAGGACTATAACTTTAATGTTGGAAGTTTTCTTTGAATCCAATTGCATCATGGTGAAAAAGTTGGGAAAAAATAAGAAATATTTATAACTTAGAAAAATTCTAAGTTATGAAAAATTTCAAATTAAAACCCTAACTTTCAAAATTAGGTTTCTTGGTGAACAAGTTTCATGTTTTGACACATCTTGATGAAATATGACCCTTGGCACTTGATTTTGACCAAAAAGTCAAAGTTTGACTTTTCAGTGTACAATTGATTTATGATCAGTTGACTGCAAAATTCATCTGTCAATCTTATGCATTTGAGATCCTTTAAACTATGTGATTAGGTCAAGATGATGCCATTGTGTCCTTGAAACCATGCTTGAACCCAATTTTCCATTGGCTAGGTGAAAAATCAGAAATTGCCCTTCCTCAGTCAAAACCTTAATTTTGACCATTTTGCCCTTTTGAAGATCTGATCAAATTCCTTGAGGAGTTGTGGTCAAAACTTGATCAAATGGTTCATATGAGTCTATAATGTTGATGTGGATAAAACATTATGAGGTTTTACTGTAAATTGGCCATGGTTGACTTTTCCTCCAATATAGGTGATTTTTAGGTCAACTGTCCAATTGACTGGTCCAAAATGTGATTCAAGGCTTGAAACTTTGTATGAGCAATATTAGAGGTCCAAGATGGTGTATGAAAGTCACATGAGGCATTGAAAGTCCAAAAGTCCTTGTGTAAACTCAAACCCTAATTTCAGGTCATCAGTGCAAGATGAGGTCTTGAGCTGAGCAAGCCCTAATCTGGTCTTGAGTCCAAGAAGTCTTGTGAGGGGAAATCTTGATAAAATGAGAGGAAAATTTTTGGGGTACAATAGCTGCCCCTGTTCAATCTTCTTGAACCTGAAGAGTTAGATTGGCGAGTTTTGCCATTCGTGACTCGAAGGTAAAAGATGATTGGACACTAGAGTGCTCGTAAATTTGCACTCGATGAAGTAGTCGAGGGAATGGGCTTAAAGATGCCATTTGGAAAGGTGGTTGAATCTTGTTGGAGATGGGCTTATAGATGCCATCCAAGAATGCTTGTTGTAAATCAAGAGAATGAACATTAGAATGGTATCCGTATCCGGAACGTATCTGAGTTGTATCTGGAGATTTGAATCTGAATAAGTGACAGAATGGCTTCTGTATCTGGAGCGTATTTGGACTATATCTTGAATAGGTGACAGAATGACTTCCGTGTCTGGAGTGCATCTGAGATGGGGAAAAATTTGAATGAATGACAGAATGGCAACCGTGTCTGGAGCATATCTGGACTGTATCTGACGTTGAGGTCTGAATGAGTAACAAAATGACTTATGTGTTTGGAGTATATCTTAACTACATCTGGGATCTGAATAAGTGACGGAATGACTTATGTGTCTAGAGTGTATCTGAACTTGAAATTGATAGTTGAATCTGAATGAGAA